GTGATGTGGATGTATGCTGAATTATCGTGACCACGTACGACTTGTCCATAGGGTATCATCACAAGCTGTAACGCCTCCTACGTCGACCAGTCGTCGTCGGTCTGTCATCGCCGGAAAACAGGGGTCAGAAAACTGAAACGTCGACTAGGCGCCGCGACTCGTTCGGTGCAGCTTTCACTTCACGCACTCGCGCTCCTATCGTGTCTCGCGTTCCAAATTTCATTTTCATCCGTACGGATGGACAACGGAGCAGCCACGGACAACTGCTCCAATGGCAACATCACTTCCACCGCTACTCCTGCCCCAACCTCATCGTCCGAAGCGCACGATTCTGAACGCCGTAAGAAGAAACCCTATAAGGAGTTGACGCTGCAGGAGAAAGTGCAGCTGATCCGACTAGCCGAGGAGAACTCAGGAATGAGTCAAGCGGCTATTGCTGAACGCTACACGATAGCGAAGAGCAATGTGTGTCGAATACTGCAGAGGAAGAAGGAGTACCTGATGGCCTATGAGTCCGCAGGCTATGCCGGCTCAAGAAAGAGGAAGTTGAAAGGAGCCGTAATGGAACTGGCCACCAACGTTGGCCCTGTGGATTCACGGCAAATGGGATTACTAATCCCAGCACATAATGAAAATTCTGGTAAGGAGTACGTTAGAGGTATTTTATTGAATTTCCCTCCTAATAGTTCTTTTCCTTAGTGTTTTCGCAACCATAGTACTCCTACTCTACTTATCCATAAAGTGTTTTTGCAATTATAATGTTCCTACTCTACCTATCTATAACTTCATACGTGCAAGAGCAGCCGATATTCTATTTATACTTGTCTATTTTCTTTTCTTTTTTTTGAAAGTCGTGATTGCACTCTCTTCTCTTTCAATTTCAAATTTACAATGAAAAGCTTCTGAAAGCTCATGCGCCCTATAAGACTAGAGTAAAGATTGTGCAAGCTCAAACTGACTGGTTCGCTCATAGCACTCTCCCTTCATCTTTTTTTTCCAGAATTTCCTTAAGCCTCGTCCTTCCATTCTGCGGAAAAAAACGCATAAATTTAAGCCGTGTTAGCCCATATCCTCCACATCTCTGATCCACTCTTTCAGTTCATTTTATAAGCATACAGATATCGCTTTATTTTCTCACACAAACGTGAGAATAATAAACCCGTAAAATCTCGAACGAGTATGAGCAGCTGT